CACTCTGATATCTTCCTCCCCGCACTTCCTCTTTTCCTGTTCTCTCCATCCTCATGGCGAAGCAATGCAATTTCTACACTTCCCGCAGAGCCTAAACATGCCAGGCCCTTCATGCCACCACAGGTGTACAGAACTGTACTATGATGAATGCTGTATTATATGGATTTTAAGTTTGTATCAACATTAAAGTCACTAGCAGACAGTTTAGCTTTGAAATTATTCTCAACCTTTTTTTATATATAATAGGCTTGCACTTTTAATAAATTATAAACTCTTTGAGACAGGATCAGTCAGTGTCTTTCATTTATTTTTGTATTCTCAAATTTCCTTTTCAAGGTACTGGTTACAGTAAAACCATATATTGACTTAAATTCATACTGTCACTCAATGTCCATTTCCTCTTGCCACCTTTTCCCAATTTCTCTTAAACAAGGAAACCTGGTGTAGATGTAGGTCTGGCAGCTACAACTTTTCATTTACAAAAAAGCCTATCCTTGGCATCACCTAAGAACCAGCTAGAAATGCAGTCTTGGGCCCCATTGCAGACTAACTATATCCTACTCTGTGTTTTCAGCAACAGACCCAGATGATTCTTATGCATATTAAAGTGTGGGAAATGCTGCACTAAAGAATCCAGTCTGAATCAGTTGAGCATTAATTTTTACATTAAATAAACCAAGGAAATGTCTACTTAAATCTCCATTTTACTATTCATGCGTGTATGTGCATATGTGTGTAAGGAAGAAAAAGAGAAAGCCAGAGGAAAATTGGGGAGACAATTTTTTTTGCTGTCATAGACTCCCCTAAGAAATATCTAATGAATATATTTTCTATTTAGACTATTATTTCTGCTGTACTTTTCTTTTTCATTTTGGGTAAACATATTAAACCACATAGGAAAACAAAGCTGTCAGGATATTACTTGAACACACACACACACACACACACACACACTTGAGGTATCTAAGAGCTGAATTCATGTGATGAATTTTTAAAAAGCTGGCTGCTTTTAAAGGCATTTATAATTCAAAGTGTTTGATTAACTTTTAAAGAGTTGAGTGTTGGTAGACTTAAAATCAAAAGGAAAGGCTTGTAGTAGACTGGTGGATTTTTAGAGTTGGATAGAAGTAGGGAAACCATGCTCTTATCCTTCTTAGCTTTGATATTTTTGTGTGATTTCTGTTCCAGTCGCATAACAGGTCCTCTTTAACCATCTTTTTATCACATGGCCAACATGGGGCTAGCAATATTTCCTACCTGCTCAACAGGTATTCTCAGAATTCCTGGGATAGTCCATCAAGTATTTTAACTTGCCAAGGACAAGCCCTATAAATATATAGTAGATAACAGTTTATAGATAGTAGTGTGTAAAGGTGATCATATGTAGACATTAGGTACTTGAAGAAATCACAATGGAATTTTAAGACAGACCTCCTAAGGGAGGGAAAAGGGTGAGAGGTTAAGGAGTGGAATGTATAAGCCTTAATGGAGACATTTACATATCCAACAATATAAAATAGCCATATCATAAGCAAATTCATAATCTATAATAGATAAATGATAAGAGCAATGTGACTTCTGGTGGATAGGGTCAAAACTCCTAAAAACGATATGGCTATTTGGAATGTGTTCAGATGTGAGCACCTCATTTTACGAAGAATATTTCTATCCTGGTATAAGTCAATTCTGCTTTACATTTGTTGATTGATTCATTCATTCCTTATTTCTTGAATCAAGTGATATTATGTGATTAAATGTGTGGTAAGTGCTAGAAATTGCATATGTGATTGTTATACTTTTCATTAAAGACCTTATAGTTGAGTATAGAGAAATACCATATAAGCAAGTAAGTCCACTAATGTGTTGTAAGGGCTGAGATGCAAGAGGATAAAGGTGGAGAGGAGGCACAAAGATCAGTTCTTCCTGGGGAACTTAAGAAAGGGTGTTCATGGGTGTGAACCCATAGTACTTGAGACAGGTCTAAGGAATCAATGTGGTTACTTTATGAACAAATTGTTTGCGAGAGAGTGGAGGGTGTGGGAGATTATATATACTTCATAAATTTGGAGAGTTACATGATATATGAAGTATTACTTTTTTTCTTAATTCTGGCAGACAGAGCCCAAATCACAAGCATACAGGGAGAAGGGACATAAGAGATAAAGGATGGACACTCATGTTTTAGGAGTGCCCATACTGTGCTGGGCTTATACTGGGCACATTATAAGCACTATTTTAGTTCGTCCTCATTACAAGTTTACCAATGCATAACTTGTCTGAAGGGCCACTATTAGGTCAATACTTAGAGCCCCAGCTGATCACCCTCATCCTCTGTTTTAAGACAGAATGAAAAGTTACTGCCTTGAAACACACAGGTTAACTCTCCAAACATAGGTGGAGAATTAATGTGTGTTTGACAAGGCAGTAACTTTAGATGATCTTAATAATCCTATATAATAAAAGGGTAATATGCAAATTGACCCTAATGGTGGAACCACCAGAAATGACCGGTCGCTATAACACGCACTGACCACCAGGGGTCAGACACTCAACGCAGGAGCAGCCCCCTGGTGGTCAGTGCACTCCCACAGGGGGAGCTCTACTCAGCCACAAGCTGGGCTGGCTGCTTCGAGCACAGGGGCAGTGGCAGGAGCCTCTCCCACCTCCTTGGCAGCGCTAAGGATGTCCCCAGGGAGCTGGCCTAAGCTGGCAGGTGGACATCCCCTGAGGGGTCCCAGACTGTGAGAGGGCACAGGCCGGGCTGAGGAACACCCCCCCCCCAGTGAACAAATTTTCGTGCACCAGGCCTCTAGTCTTAAATAACAGGATGGGCAGTAGTAGAGGACACTAATAATTGTATAAATATGACTATGTCTATAGGAACTGAAATGATTATATCTTTAGAAAAAAGCAAAATTGGTTTTATTTATTAGAATATGTATCATGATATATAATCGAGGTACACATAATTATCACTTTATATCTACATTTGAAAATATGTTATATCCAATATCTGTTTCAAAAAATATAAAATATTTTAAAATACATCAAATACTACAAAATTTACATCTATTTAATGTTTTATCCTACTTTTAATTCCTTTAGATTTTTATTCAATTCCATTTGACAGTTAAAATGGTTCTACCAGCCAAACTTGATATGCAAATTGATTTAAGCCGGATGTTACCATCTCCTATGTCATAAGAAATACTATTTTACTAGTTCACTAGTGTAAAATGGAAAGATTACAGATACAAATATAAAAATAAAACCAAAAAGTTATATTTCTTCTTGCACATTATTATGAGACAGTGGATTAGAAACCTAAGTAATTTGTAGAAAATTAGCATTTTGATGTACAAGAGAGAAGTAATGCATTCCACTGGTCCAGTTTTTGCTTCATCATAGAACTTTCTAAGCCAACGTTTGGGCTCATTTTGGTTTCTTTCTAGAATGCTACCATTTACTTTATGCTTCCATCACTGGAAAGGGACCAGGCTCAGAGCACATCTGACTCTGGCCGGCCTCGTGTGTAGGTTTTAACTTTGTACAAGAATGATTTCACAACATGAGTCCAGATGATTTTGAGAACATGTTTATTGAAGGTGGTGATAGTGAAATAAAGGAGAGGATTATGATAGAAGAAATAACAGGAGAGAGCGGAGGTGGTGCTCTGCTTTGGCTCTCTAGAAACATTATAGGAAAGAAGTGAGCCAGGCTGGGCTGCATGGACTCACTGAGAAGTAAATGTCACAGAGGCAGAAGTGAGCCAAGGTGGGGCTGCTGTTAGTGCTGTTAGCTCAGTGAAAAGTCAGAGAAAAGGGGGTCTTGGAGACAGGTTCAGGGGGTTCGCCTAGGATGAACTGCCACTGCCTGCTGCTCCCCTGGTTGCAAGTCTCACCGCAACCCTTAGAGCTTAAGAGAAAAGTAAGTAAAATACACTCAAAAAGGAGACACCAGGGACTTGCTTCAAGGTGGATGCATATACTGTGTCCTTGGTCTTGGGGGCTTTTATCTGGAGGTCTCAGGGAAGGATCTCAACATTATATTTATCAGCTTTCCCAGGTGTGTCCTTTCAGGATCATGGTGTCTATGAAAATGAATTGACATTTGCAATGTAGGGGGTAATTAGTCATCGCAGCTGGTCCTGATGTCGGCCATGGCATCACTTCGTCTGGCTTTGCTGCTTCTCTGGGCCTGGGTCTGAAAAACAACTGAGGCCTAGATGATAGCTCTAGGGCTGACTACTTAAGGGAGTGGTCAGCGAGGGGTTCCTGTGAGGCTATCTCTGGCCTCGATTTCTCCTCTAAGGGGGCTCTCAAACCACATGACTAGCAATATGCCAGGGGAGGAAAGGTCAGGGGAGGGTCCGAACCACATGACCAGAGATATAAAAGCCAGGGGGTCTAAACCTCATGACCAGTAATACACTGGGGGAGGAAAGGTCGCACTGGAAGCACAGTTCTTGTTTTCTCAGTTTTGCCATTTGCTAGGCACTCAAGGATTTCCACCTCAGTGACCTTCTGTGCCTGGCTGTAGATTGCTCAACCAGTTTGTTCAGCTGTCTCTTTCCCCATCCCACGTGCCAAGGAATTTTCCTGGTTCTTACCATCCTGCCTCACTTCCAGAATTCATAAAAAAACTTCTACCTCAGCATGGTTTCTCCCTGTTTTCAACTCTATTGTGCATTTATTATTCACTTCCTGCATCTTTTTTTGTTGTTGTTATTTCAAGGGGAATGGAATGGGGACCTGAGGCAAGATAAATATGTCTCAGCGTTCCCTTTGAGCTCAAAGCTTCAATTGTTTAAAAAAGAAGAATATTTTAAGATTGAGTGTTGGCAATTGGATACTTTTAATTGTCAAAAAAAATTAGCTGGTAAAACAGAAGATGCTGCTAATCATTGGGTTCTCACACCATGCGATTCTACCTTTAATTTTGGGAGGCCATAATGGCCTCTAACAGAAAATGACCAAACAAATCTGTCCTTGTTTTTATAGAGATTTGCCTGCTGACCAAGGGACGCCGCACTGCCAGTGTTCGAGCTGACACATACTGTCGTCTTTATTCACTTTCTGTGGACAACTTCAATGAGGTCCTGGAGGAATATCCGATGATGAGAAGAGCCTTTGAGACGGTTGCCATTGACCGACTAGATCGGATAGGTACTCTCTTTGGTTTTGTCTTCTTCATGCACAATTCAGTTTTAATCTAGTGGGCTGATACGTATTTGCAGTCATCAGTCCCAGATGCTAGTTCACAGACTGATTGTTCAATTGCATAGAAGTAGCAATTAGCTGTAGCCCTATTTCTAGAAAGATCCGAGGCTCTAACTTTCTCTTCTCAGTGTTCTAGGTTTACTTATTCATCTCTATTTTTACTAGCTACGCAATCTGATTTCCCCAGTGATGCCAATACAATTTGAATTTTCAGGTAAAAAGCAATGATAAAAATTCTACATGGCATTAAAATAGAATTTAAAATACCAGTGCGTGAGTCTACATTACAAACCAAAGTTACCACAAGAATTTTTTAAGGTTCCACTTTACATTTTATCCTTATATTAAGAAATGAGAACTTGTGTTAAATAACTGTCTCTGTAGAAACTTCTTGAAATATTTGTAATGCAGACTCAAGAGGAAAATAAGCCTTGCTAGAAATGTCCTACATAGATGCTTTACTTTGCAAATATCAATTTAGTTTAGTCTGCTCTGCTCTCAAATAAAAATGTATAAATTAGCCTTATTAGTTACACTAGTTTAAAGAGTTGAATACTTGCCATAGTCAAGTTACATTAGATTGGCTTGCAGTTAACTTCCCAAGATCTGCTGGGACACTGTGACATCAGAAATATGCATTCATTTACACACCCAGATCCTCCTCCCCATCCTGCCCTGCTCTGCCCCTTTTCTCTGCTTAACTCTACTAATCTTCCTCTCTTAGTTTAGCCCCGCAATAGGCTGAGTACCCAGATATGTTCTCCCATATCCCTGGGAAGTTCCTCCATCACAGCACTGCCTTTAGTGCTGTAACTGCACTAGAGATGCTAAGCTTTGTAACTGCAGAGATCATGTTTAATTCACTATTACATTCACAGTACCTGGTGCACAGCGAATTTTATTGACCAGAGGTAGGGAGGGTTGAAGGAATCAATGAACTCAAAGGAGATGGGGTTGGGATCACTTGAAAGTAAGCAAAGAGCTATTGCAACTGCTTCACTCTTATTAAAGGTAAGGACTTGTGATTGATGTATGGATATGTGAGCTTTTCTGCTGCGTTTCACCTCTTTCCTTCCATCAATGTTAGGATAACAGACTGCATAGGATCTGAAATTAGGTCAGGAGAAAAAAGATAGTATTTGGATATTACCATTAGACTTAACTCATACCTTAGAAACTCACAATGACAACTTAGAGATTTAACAGGGCATAGTGCCCATCAAAGAAGTGAGTACTCCTCAAAGCATCTTTACTTAATTTGAAAGTAACTTCCCTCATTGTGGTGCATGAATGTTCATGCAGAACTAGAGACTAATTTCTGAGCATATAAATTCTTTTCCCAAACCAGCTCCACATCTTTAGAGAAAGCATTAAAATTAGGTTATTTCAATAGGAAATATCTCTTTATCTGATACAGCTTCATTCTCCTCTAATTTATTGCAGTTTATGTTTATAAAAAAGGTTTGCATGAAATGGTTCGTAATTAATAGTATAGGCAATGAAATTGCTAGTAAGCACCAAACATTTGCATTTTTAATTCTTATAAAATGCTAGCAGTACAATAAAAGTTATAGTATTTTTCCACAAGGTCACAGATATTAGATTATGAAATGTTGACTGTTCACATGATCGCAAAGAAATGCAATCCTTCTCAATTGTCATCATTTCTTATAAATGTATATTATACTTAGTTAAGGGAATATGCTAAATAAGTATTTACATTTATTCCTAACCTAGAGGTGTTTGTTCTTTGGGAAGGTAGGTGAATTCTGAAAGGAGAGATAGACAGCTATCCATTCTGTCAGTCATTTAAAATGATTGCAGCCTAAAACTAATAGAATGTGTGTGTCCGTTGTGCATCAATAAGATCAAAAATAAAATAAAAATTATTGTTTTTCTCAGCATTGAGTAAATTATAGCATATATTTTCATTCAAAAAATATTTCTTGTTCCTTTAGATGTCATACTTTATTAAGTGATTGGGCAAATTAATTCACTTTTTAGTTACCACGTTCACCTGGGTATGAATGATGCCATCAAAAGTCACTGATTTCCCCATTTTTCATCAGCCTACTCCTGGTGCTGGTAGTTATTCTGCCACAGGATGTCTGCTAACTGCAGAGCCCTGGGGAGACAATGGCAGGAAGGAGGGGTGATGGTTATGGTGACTGAGTTCTGGAGTGAGCTGAGAGCCCGCCACAAACAGTGGTTCTCAACCTTGGCTTCACAGTAGAATCACCTGGGAATCCTTTTAAAATCCTGATTTCTGGGCCTCATCCTCCGGAAATTCTGTTTCTTTGTTACTAATGTTGTGGCCTCATCCCATAACAAATAAACAGAATTTCCGGAGGATAAGACCCAGAAATCAGGATTTTAAAAAGATTCCCAGGTGATTCTAATTGCAGCCAAGGTTGAGAACCACTGCACTATACCCTCACAGCCTGTCAGATGAGGAAGATTGTGATGTGGTCCTCAATGAGGGCGGCGCAGAAGAATCCTGGGGGGAAATTAGCTGTTACTGTGTCAAAACCTGGGCCCAAGTCTGCTCATTCTGATTTAAGTGGTCGAGTACAGGTGGAACTCAGTGTGTCTGAAAGCCCAGAGATGAGATTGAGATGCAGGGAGGGTAGAGAATCACTGGAGTAGGACACTGGTCAAAAACAAAGTCCTTCGCTTCTCCGACTGCCATGTGGGGAGCTCAGTAAAATGCCGCTTCCGGCTGAGCAGTGGGTGAGGCCCAGGGACTGGGGTCCAGCATTCACGTGAGACAGGTGTGTCTGGTTAGTTGAGGATGACACATCTATGTCACATCTGCTGTTTTCCCTTCCCAGCCCAGTTACTCAGGAGCCACATTTTCTCGGGCATTGTCCTCATTCTCCCTTTGTCTCAGTGGGCGTGAGCACGCCTCAAAGAGTGGGTTGAATAAAATAAACCTACCCATGGCCTGTCACATGGTAGGCGTGCCACTGTCCTTTCTCGAAAAAGAAGCGTTCAACTCAAATCTTGATTCCAGGCCCATCCTGGCCCCAATTCCCGTTCTTCCCGGCTCTGCACCGTAGCCCTCACTCTCCGTTTCTTCTGTAAGATGGCTTTTGCCACGTTACAGTTTTTTCAACTTGACCTGGATGGGAGGTGGGATTTTCCTGGATGATGCAGGCAGCTCCAAGGGCAGGCCCCCAGCTCCTGTTTGTGAAGGTGAGTAGTACTGGGCTTTGGAACCTGCCCAAGGGCACACTGACGACTTGCTTTCAGGAGCCACTGTCCCCGGGAGTTGCCGCCTGTCCTGGGTAGGCATTCTAAGCGCTTATTTTTCTTTCGCTGACAGGCAAGAAAAATTCAATTCTTCTGCAAAAGTTCCAGAAGGATCTTAACACTGGTGTTTTCAACAACCAGGAGAACGAGATCCTGAAGCAGATCGTGAAACACGACCGGGAGATGGTGCAGGCCATCGCTCCAATCAGTTACCCGCAGATGCCAGCCCCGAACGCCGCCTCCACGGCCACGCCCACCTCCCGCATGAGGACCCAGTCACCGCCCGTGTACACCGCCACCAGCCTGTCCCCTAGCAACCTGCACTCCCCCAGCCCCAGCACGCAGACCCCCCAGCCCTCGGCCATCCTCTCGCCCTGCTCCTACACCACGGCCGTCTGCAGCCCGCCCGTCCAGAGCCCGCTGGCCGCCCGAACTTTCCACTA